GGTTATGCCCTGTCCTTGAATTGACAAATGGTTCATACAGACCCCCTCATCAAATTTCAGGCACTTTGAAATTGGGCCATCACTTATGACCAGTTGCCACCTCCAGCATCATAGTGACTTTGATTCATGACTTTCGATTTCCAACAGAAAACAACAAACATGCATATTGGATACGATGGATTACCTTATCAACCAAAGTGTTCATTTAACAACTACATGATTTGCTTAACTCTGGTGATTTACTTCATGATTGCTGTAAAAAAAAACAGTTGTAAACCTGAGTCAGGTCATGTAGTGTTCTGCTTAAAAACAGAAATGACAGACAATTCCAATTGTTAAATAAGAACTACCTGTACTGTAGAGAAGGAGGTTTGAACATTGAACATTCTTGTTTAACTAAATCATATTCTTTATTTGAAATCTCTGTGAAGATTTTCATATATAACAATCCATTGCTATTCCTGAGAATTCCAAATCCCAAATTTCTTGCAGTAATGCTACTGCTTTCTTACTAAGATTGGAAGATATCTCCATCAACTAAATAATCTATTAAACTGCCAAACCATTTTAATGCTTCTCCACAATAATTATTAGTCCTTCTGTTGCCTAAAGTGTGTTGCAGTAATTCCCCAATATCTCCAAAATAAATCTCTCTCAATCCTATCAATAGACTGAAAATAACTGTTCTAAGGATATTAGCAAAATCCATTGTATAGCTATAGCCTTTGACTGCAACAACGGCTAGGTGACAAAACCTCAGCCATGAACAGGGTAGAGTCCAAATGGTTTCTTTCTTTATTATTTAATTTCTATGCATTCCATCTCATTAGTACAGTGACTCTAGATGACTTACAATATAATAAAGATTTAAATAGTTCTGTAATATGATTTCTCCTCTGCTACATGCCACGTAAGCTTTTTGCTCTCAGCTAGCGGAAGGAGAACATTTCTCTGCTTATTTACTTGCCTGTAGTGAAACAGCCTGAATATTCTTCCAGTGCCAAAGAGTAACTGTTATTTTAGTTAAAAGGTGACTTCCGAGAAATCATTGTCTCTCCCTCAGATATCCCTTGTAATCGTCCTGAAAATATTCCTGATGGACAATTTGATCCTGACCCTAAAGATGAATATTATGTAGACTCAGTTGTAATCTACCGCTGCAACCGTGATTTCTCCCTGATTGGAAATTCAACCATCACATGCATAACTACAGAAGATGGCCGAAATGGAAAGTGGAATTTACCTGCCCCTGAATGTAAAAGTAAGGAAAAATGGAAGCATCTTTAATCAGCTGAATTGCCTTTTTAGCTGTTGTTGATGGTAAATAAAATTCTCGCAGGAAGAAAATCATGGCATAAACTCTGAAGCTCTGTCGTCCCTGCATGAGAGGGGAATTTGAAAAATAACAAAGAAAAAAAAAACTAATTTGAGAAATATTGTAGTCATTTATAATATATAGCAAAACTGTTAACTGTTAATTCTGGTCTAATTCAAAGGTTAATTCAAAGAAATGATCCCGTCTTTCACATATCTCTTGTCTTCGGCCTGATAGAATTCCTGATTCTAATTCCACTTATTACTATGGAAGAGTAGTAATTTATCAAACTGATTCCCCCTGTTTGGAAAGTCAATGACTACATGCATAGTTGCAGGAAGTGGCCTAAATGGAGAGTAGAATTCATAAGGCAGCCATGACAAATACTATAGTAGCACGTAGTATAAAATATTATAGAATCCCTACATGTTATGCACATAAATATGTTGCTTATTAGAAGATAATAACATTCAGATTCATTATGAACAATGTTTTATATTGAGTTCATCTCTTTCTGGTCATTGCTTGCAAAATGATTGAGGTTTCCAATTTCTGCATCTATAACTAGTAACAATCATCCAACACAGTTACTAGGTTAGATGAGCAACCATTTAAAACCCCAAACATGCAGTAAGAGTGGTAGTACAGGTAGTCCTTGACTTACCACAGTTGATTTAGTGAAGTTGCAATGGGGCTGAAAAAGTGACATATGACCATTTTTCCCACTTATGACTGTTGCAGCATTCCTATGATCACGTGGTCCCAGTTTGTATCCTTGGCAACTGACACATATTTATTATGGCTGCAGTGTCCCAGGGTCACGTGATCCCTTTTTGTGACCTTCTGACAAGCAAAGTCGATGGGAAAGCCAGATTCACTTAACAACTGTGTAATAATTTAACAACTGCAACAACTTAAAATCATATTATGGGGCAAAATTGTCTTAACAACTGTCTCACACATCAACAGAAAATTTGGGCTCCAGGTGAGGACTACCTGTAGTAAAAAAAATTGGATTTGATGGTATGAAAACCAACTGCAAAATTTGATGGTATGAAAACCAGCTACAAAAACACAAACGGAATAAAAGATTAACCGAATATGATCTTGTAGGGGTTTAATATCCGATACTCATAGAAGAAAGAAAAATAAAAGCAACTGCAGATTATATATCCCTTTTAGCCAAGAACTTGGTTGTTTTTATTTATAGGCTGTTCTGAACTGGTTTTCTTTAAAAGATGCTTTCTCTTTTCAGAGGTCAAGTGTGATCCACCAAAAGTGGAAAATGGGAAATTAACTAATTTACCTAAGCCTTCATATACCTATAATGAAGCCATCAGCTTTGAATGTAATTCCGGCTATTCTGCTGTGGGAAACCTGCATATTAAATGTGGGGCTAACAGTTCATGGGTTCCTGCCATCCCCGAATGTGTTAAAGGTAACTATTTTACAGTCTTACAGGAGAGTTTGGTTGACATTTAATACATAATTTTCTGCATGACTAACATGAAGTTTAATTTTCTCCTTTTTCTTGTTATTGCCTCTGCTACTCACTCTTTTCTTACAAGTAGATTTATAATGGCGATCACTATTCATTCAAATGATAAGAAACTATAACTATAGGTGAATTATGATGAATTATAACAAAACCATTAATGAAATTCAGGTCTTAAGAGCTATTGACTAAGTTATTGGAAATATTCCTATATCTGTGAAGTTCTCCATGCCAAATGGGAGTTGATTTGATCCTAGTCTTTCATTGTATAAAAATATCCTTGTACCTAAAACCCTTTTAGTTTAATGGTAATAACTCATTTTCTTCAGAAGACAATTATGTACACAAACCATTTTGGTTGTGAAACAAAAGTCTTCCTGCACACCTAATTCCTCGGTCTGCTTTGAATAGATTGGCCTTTGCAGAATGTGGTATTTGAGTGTCTTGTTCCCCCCTTGGGGGACATCACTGTTGACTGGAGCAGGGTTTCATGTAGTGCTCCCTATTTTTACTATTTGTTGCCTGTTTGACAGGAATGCAGTAATCCACTTATGAAGGGATCCGGAAATGACATAAGAGTTTAGTTTTAACAGTAGTTTGTCATGTATCACTGAATCAAAGGCTTTGCAGAAGTCTATGTAAATTGCGCCTATTGCTTTACCCTAGTCAAGTACAGTAGTCCATATGTTTTTGCAGTGTAGGAGTTGTAAGTTGCAGGACAATTTTTTCCTGAAACCAAATTGTTTTTGGGAGAGTGGGTTGTTTGACTCTAAGTGGAGGGTGATGAATTGGTTAATGATTGATTCCATGACTTTGCACATGACACAACACAGTGAGATTGTTCAACCAAGCTGGTTGACCTTTTTTGAAGGTAGGGATGACCATAGCTAAGGACCATAGGTTCGGTGAGGAGATAATTTTGAATGATATATCATATATAATGCTTAGGGGTTCTGCTATGGCAGAGGAGAAGCAGAAAGATGGCAGCCTCCTCTGAAGTTTACATGGAGCTTATAACCAGTGGTCTCTGTCCAGGGGTCATTTGGCACATTCACTTATTACAACTTCATTCCAACCTTGAATTGTATAAGTAGAGCTTTTCTCTAACTATATGGCTAACTTCGACATTATATTTGTCTGTGAAACATGGCTCAATGCATCTCTCCCCGACTCCATTACAGCAGTAAGAGACTATCATGTTTACCGATCAGATCGTGAAAATCGTCGAGGAGGTGGTGTTGCTATATTCTATAAAAAATCCTTACATCTAAAAAATATCCAAGTTACCCAGGAGCTTGCTCTTCCTGAGACCATCATCTGTGAACTATCCTTAAATATCACAATTCGATTCTTACTATGTTACAGAGCACCTGATTATGACATCGAACATGTAAACAAGCTAAATACATTACTAACATGGGCTGCATCCTGCCCATACCCTTTTATCTTTCTTGGTGATTTCAGTCTACCTCATATTGACTGGACCCTAAATGATTGTACAACTGAAATCATACACACAACCTTCTACAATACTATTACAAATCTGGGACTGGAACAACTAGTAACCAACAACACTAGACTAAACAACTGCCTCGATCTCATCTTCTGCAATAGTTTGAATTTAATTTACGGAATACAAACTAAAGAACCCTTTTCCAGTAGTGATCACAATATGATTGACTTTTGTCTCAACATACGTCCACACATAAAACACCACAATGATGTAATCCCCAATTGTAACTTCAAAAAAGGCAACTATGATCTTATAGACAACGATCTCTCATCCCTGGATTGGCAATCTCTATTCACTGGATGCAATACTGTTGAAGACCATTACAACATATTTTTACTTGAAGTCAAAAGAGTCATCAAACTATATGTACCAACAACAACTCCCAAAACAAAACAAAATAGCAGATTACCCATATCAATAAGGAAACTTCAATCCAAAAAGAGATCACTCTGGAGGAAAAACAAATCTGGTCACGTTGCCAATTTCAAAAACCGATACAAAAATTTATGCCACCAGATAAAGACCGAATGCAGCAATTATCACATTAAACAAGAGGAAAACCTTCTAAGCACCAATTCCACCCGTGCTTTTTACAATTTTGTAAACAACAAACTAAAAGACTCAAGGTCCCTCCCTCCCTTGATAGGACCTGATGGTAAAGACTGCAACGACGACACCATTAAAGCCAACATCTTTAACACATTCTTCGGCTCAGTATTTGTAAACAGCAATGGATCAGGCCCAGTATTTCCTAGCCGTACCACAGATAACAATAATGATCTAATACATATCGATTTCACAGAAGACAATGTTGAAAAATCACTACACAATCTAAAACCATCTCTATCTATTGGACCGGATGGAATATGTGCCTACTTCTTAAGAAAGCTATCCACTGCCATAGCCAAACCTCTAAGCATAATCTTTGAAAAATCTTTCAGGACCAGCTCCTTGCCTAACCTATGGTCACAAGCCACAGTCATCCCATCTTCAAAAAGGGAGACCCAAGCCTAGTTGAAAATTACAGGCCAATCTCCTTATGCTGCGTCACCTGTAAAGTCATGGAATCAATTATTAACCAATCCATCATCCTCCACTTAGAGACAAATAACCTACTCTCCAATAAACAATTTGGTTTCAGAAAAAAACTATCCTGTAATCTACAACTCTTACACTGCAAAAACATATGGACGACACAACTCGACCAGGGCAAAGCAATAGACGCAATCTACATAGACTTCTGTAAAGCCTTTGATTCAGTGGTACACGACAAACTACTCCTAAAAATAAAATCCTATGGTATCTCTGGACAACTGAATAACTGGATAGAAGCATTCCTGTCAAACAGACAACAAATGGTCAAAATCGGGAGCGTCCTATCAAATCCAGTACCTGTCAATAGTGGTGTCCCCCAAGGCAGTGTTCTAGGACCAACTCTCTTCATACTCTACATAAACGACCTCTGTGATCATATTAAGAGCAATTGCGTTCTCTTCGCTGATGATGTAAAGCTGTTCAATACCACAGACAATACTGCTACCCTACAAAAAGATCTTGACTATGTATCAGAATGGTCAAACAAATGGCAACTTCAAATCTCAACAAATAAATGCTCTGTCTTACATATTGGCAAAAAAAAATCAGAAAATAAAATACAAGCTGAATAGTCAAGAACTTGTTGATGACCCAAGCTCTGTAAAGGACCTTGGAATACTCACCTCTAATGATCTAAGTGCTAGAGCCCACTGCAACTACATAGCCAAAAAGGCATTAAGAGTTGTTAACCTAATCCTACGTAGCTTTTTCTCTGGTAATATCACACTACTAACCAGAGCATACAAAACATTTGCTAGACCAATACTCGAATACAGTTCATCAGTCTGGAACCCACATTACGTATCTGATATTAGCACAATTGAGAAAGTCCAGAAATATTTCACAAGAAGAGTTCTCCACTCCTCTACTCGTTGTAGAATACCTTATGCCACCAGACTTGAAATTCTAGAACTAGAAAACCTCGAATTACGCGGTCTTCGGTCTGACTTAAGCATGGTATATAAAATCATACATTGCAATGTCCTACCTGTCAATGAATACTTCAGCTTCAACCATAACAACACAAGAGCACACAATAGATACAAACTCAAAGTAAACCGCACCAAACTTGATTGCAGGAAATACGACTTCAGCAATAGAGTGGTCAATGTCTGGAATACTCTACCCGACTCTGTAGTTTCTTCCCCAAACCCCAAAAACTTTAACCTTAGACTGTCTACTATTGACCTCACCCCTTTCCTAAGAGGTCTGTAGGGGGCGTGCATAAGCGCACCAACGTGCCTTCCATCCCTGTCCTATCGTTTCTCTTATTCTTTTATTTTTCTTATATGTACCCATTTCATGTATTCACAACTATGTATACACTTATACTTATTATCTTGTAAACAATTGGCAAATCAAAATAAAAAAATAAAAAAAATAAAAAAATAATGCGAACCAAGGATGGTCAGGAAAACAATAAATACATTCTGCAAAGCCATGATTTGTTTCAACTATAGTTTGTTTGACATGCTAATTTAAGTAGATATAGCTAAACTATAAAGGATGATTTATAAACTGAGGTCACAAATTATGCTACGCCAAAATTCAAATGATTTCTGAATCCACCTAATACATAATTTTAAGAGTGGGATAAATCACAAGGCACCATGCCATGAAATACAAAAGTTCAAATCTTCAGTAATTTGATTTATCTGTTTATTTAAGGGTAAAATTGTAGTGGTTTATTTATTAAATATCCACTAAACAACTTTAAAAATGCAATGTCAACAGTGCTTCTGAATACGTGCAATTCCTGATGTTAAATTGTGAACTGCTCTAGGTCATAGTATTGGTTGAAAAATGGGATCTCATGTGTAAAATTAAGGTCAAAAAATGAGAAGAACAGCTCAGACCATTTTTACAGACAATTTTTACAGAACTTGCAACTTAATTGTTACAATCCATGGGTAAACTCATTTTTTTCTAGTGTATTATCTATACCAGCGGTCACCAACCAGTGGGCTGTGGCTGTGGCCCACTGGTAGGCCGTGAGAAAATTTTGGTGGGCCACAGAGAAATCTCACCCCCAGAGCACTCCCCCAAAGCAATTAATCCAGGCTGCACCGAAACACAAGGCTGCGCCATACACATGGACCGCAGGAACGCTCCCCGCCCACTCACTCCTTATCCAGCAAACTTGCCTGCTAAATTGCTACTTTTCCTTTTTCCAACCATCATCTGTTCTGCTGTGCCAGGAGATTTAGATTAGCTAGGAAGCAGGAAATGGTTGGATTTCTTGCTTTGTAGCTAGTCTTTAGATCTTCGGCTCTGCTTTTAAGCACAGCTCAACCTCCCTTAGGACTGAAGTTTCTGTTATTCAGTGCAGACTCACAGCAAGCAAATTTGAGAGACTGAACTAGCCAATAGCAGATAGATACCTCATTGAATAAATATGTGATTCTGTGAGCAACTCAATCTGCCTGCTTTGCCTGATTTTGGATAAAAGTTGCTATTTTTTAATAAAAAATTCAATATTTACATACATGGTGTGTTGTGAGTTAATTTTGTGAGTTTGCTTGCTAGCAAATTTTATGAGTTTGCTTGCAAGCAAATTTTATGTGACAGACTGAGCTAGCCAATGGCAGATAGATTTCTGAATGAATCTGTGATTCTGTGAACAACTCAATCTGCCTGCCTGCTTTGCCTGATATTGGGTAAAAGTTGCTTTTTTATTAAAAAAATTCAATATTTATATAAATATTCATAATATTTACATACAAGCCATGCCCAGCCAGTCACATGACCACCAAACTACACCCACAAATTAGGCTATGCCCACAGAACCGGTTAGTGGTCCCTGGGATTTAAAATTATGAGTTTGGTGGTCCCTGAGGTCCAAAAGATTGGAAACCCCTGATCTATACTATAAAGTATTATTATAGAATGCATCCCTATCACTGCAGTACATCAATTTAAATCTTCCTTCAGCCTCTTAGGTCAGTTTGTGGATAGAAGATAGAAGATTGTTCTGTATAATATATGATAAACATGAAGAGCATTCATATATTCCCTACCTCCTTTTTTTCTAATCACCAATCAAATGCTCCTTTTTGGTCTGAGATTCACAGTGTGGCAATTTTACAAAGAACTTCCAGTATCTTTTGAGGTGCAACATATTGGTTTCTGTTGTTGGCTTTTTTGGAAATTGCCTTGAAACGGAGAGATGGAAAAATGAAGAAGGTGCTTGAAGTTGCCCATGTCTGAGTAAATTTTGTTAAAATGTTTTATTAGAATATGGTGCCTTCTATATATACACACAAACACACAAACATATACACAAATACAAATGGCTTGTGTCTTTATAAAGCATCCTGCACTTCTATTATAAATTGCTCTTTACTCCTCCTCCCTGAAAACCTTTTTATCAATTTCCAGATAACTGCACCTCTCCCGTACCGCCCGCTCATTCAACACTTAAGGAAGACGTCCCAAAAGAAGGCTATCCAGTTGGAACTGTCCTGACATACCACTGCATCTCAGGTTATGAATATATCCCTGAAACTAACCCTTCAATTACATGTCTGAACACTTCAAAATGGTCTGAAATTTCATCATTGTGTCAAGGTGAGTATCTTCATGATGGTTCCATTTTGAAAAATAGGTCATCCATGTTTATATTTTCTATATATCAACCTTCACTGGCTCCTCCCAAACATCATTATAAAATCCAGTAAAAATCCAAAACAAGTGCTTCATGTATCCTAGATGAGAACCTTAGCACTCTAATATATACGGTGAATTAATAATGAAGAAACAGGGATAACAAATTCCTTTCTTTCAGAAAATTATGTTTTATGGACAGGGGTTTAATCTTTAAGGGATGTATCCTCTGCAATCAGAGTTCAATCTGAGTACTGACACTTCTGTCTTGAGGAAGACAATCTCTTACAATCTTGAGACTACAGATAAATTTCCCTACATAAAATCCCATGCCGTTGTACTAGACAGACTACAGAAGCGATTGACAACTTGAACTGGGCCTTTCTGTTTAAAGTAGTAGAAAAGATGGCTCGGGATTTATACAGGGTCTGAAGTCCTTCTGTACACTCCAGAAAGCTCAGATTATGGTGAACGGAGATTTGATAACATCATGTGAATTCCAGAAAGGAATCCCCTTTGTTATTTATTCTACTGTTGGAACGGTTAAATAGAGATATTAGACAAGAGAGCAAAAGGGCTATAAATCAAAGTACACAATTGGAAATTATATGGATTTTCTGATGATTTGGTATTGATTGTGTAAGACATGCAAGACAACATTGAATGGGTTACAAGGGAGATCAAAATGCTTGGAGAAATAGTGGGTTTAAAAGTAAATAGATTAAGGATGACAATCCTGACTAAGAACATAAATGAGGAACATCTGGAAGGCATTGGAATTTAAACATATCCAGCAATTTTGGAAGACAGTTTGCAGAAAGGTGTTTCCATATGCCAATAAAAAAAAACAGAGGAAAGCAAAGGAGGACCAATATCATTCTCTTTCTCCCACCTTATGGAACACCTGCCCTCAACTAGTGTTGTCACTCAGTGAGTGATTTGCAAACACTTCCTTTTCTAATACGTATCTGGGGGAAGGGGCATGGGTGGGATTCTACCAGTTCACACCTATTCTCTAGAACCGGTTGTTAACATTCTAAGCAGTTCGGAGAACCAGTTGCTAGAAGAAATTACTGGCCTAATCCTGTAAGGAGGCAGGAAGGAAACATTCTGGTGTTGCTTACAGAAACTGCCTCTCCATTAACCCTTATTACATTCTTGGCAGGACTAGACTTCCTGTCTCTGGAACTTCTCTGGAGTTTTCTTTCCCTCTTTTGCTGGTACTTTGCTTGTGTGGAGTGACCATTCAAAGTTATAATGCCACTGAAAAAAGTGACTTATGACCATTTTTCACAATTACAACTGTTGCAGTATCCCCACAGTCATGAGAGGCCAGGCGAGGAGATGTATGCCTCGATGTGAGTGATATTGAGTTGGCCACACCCAGCCAATAACATGACCACAAAGCCACGTCCACCCAGTCACATGACCACCAAGCCATGCCCACCAACTAAGCCACGCCCATAGAACCGGTTGTTAAAAAATTTGAATCCCACCCCTGGGGAGGGGGGAACCAAACAAAGAACAAACATTCGCAACACTAATTTGGAACAAAAATGCATGTGGTGAAGTGAGTTGACTTCAAAAAAGTATATGCCTTTCAATAAAAATGTATTATGTAGAAATAGTGCTCTCAGACTCCCCCTGATTAAGACAAAAGGATATCAGATGGAGCAAAAGGGAATCCGGTCTAGTCCATAAGATTTAAATTCCACATCTTTTCCATACTTTCTAGTGTTTGGAAAGGAGTGTGGAAGAGGGGACACCAACTTTCCCCATGTAACTCTAGTCCTTTAACATCCTCTTGCTCTTGAAACTGATCTGTTCAGTGGGAAATCCAAGTGGGGTATTCGTCATAATGAACTCCTGCAATGGTAATCTCTAGGATCTTTTCCAATTTGGCTGGAAAACATTGTCGCTGTTAATACCTAGATGCAGAGCCTGGATATGAGACGTGGCAAGCATATCTCAGATCTGCTATATTTTGGAACATGCTTCTAACTGTTTTACAAGCATGTCCACAGTTCCAAATCATAGTAGATGATGGGGCTTTCCTGGTATCTACTCGGCAATTGTGATTAATAGTTTCCTCAGAAAGAGACAAAAAAGAGGAAGGATTGAGAATAGGGCAGGAGAGACAATTATTTCTGAAGTTCCAAGATTACTTACTTTTATATTCTATTTTAATAGATCTTTTTCTTCTTTCATTTATTTATAGCATTTCCAAATAACAATATGGTACTGTAGATTATGGCCCTAAGCTCAATGATTTGTCAATGTATGTTGTTTGGTCTGGTCAATCTTAAATTAATGCTACACTGAGCAATAATTATATAAATTTTGTAATTCTGTTTATTTATTGATTCTTACCAATAAATCAATCTCAATATCACAAAGTTGATATTATATTTTGAAAGATGTTTCTTTTAAAATTAGTTATACTGTATATATCAAGCTCAATATAGCTGATATAGATATAGCTTTAGATAAACTAGCAACTTTGCATAGTTCCAGCGGCAATGCCACCCCTTTGGCAGATATATTATAATGTCACAGAAGGATAATACACGGGTGACACTGCATTTTCACAATGCCAACATGCTTTTGTCATTTTGATGTAAGCCTGCAGTTCAGCAGATGCCTTGGTTGCCCTGCTGAGGCTGCATCTCTCTAGTGCAAGAGTGAGAGAAGCTTGTCAAATCAGCCTGGGTTTAGATTAGCATTACACCTCAGAGGTAGAAGTGCTGCATTCCCACATGATTGATTACTCTTTGTGGGGACCCCTGTTACCAGACCTGTGATAGGTTGGATCTGAATTACTTCTACATTGAACTGAGAGACTAACATACATGCTTATTATTCTTTTAGGGAGGAAATGTCCCACTCCAAATATACCAAATGGCAAGACAGATGCTGATGATGACGACGACATCCGTTTGGGTGGCAATGTAACTTTCTCCTGTGTATCTGGGTGAGTTGTAGTTCATCTGTTAAAACAGTTGCCTTAGAAAGAACAGCCACAAAAGTCAATTTAAAATAAAATTAAGCTTGTTCTAAATTGGTCTTCTCAAATGTAAAAATATATAAGCAGTCTACCTCCTCAGTTTTCTACATGAATCAAGAAAAGTACATCTGCCCACTACTTGCATGTATAAACATAAATCATTTAGTGAGAAATAAAATGAGTCTTTGCTCCCAACTGTGGAACATTCACCTTGACAGCATTTTGTTCTGCTTGTCTGAGACTTTTTCAACCTGTTTCTTAAAAACTGCTTCATGGGACCCCTGCTTCTTTATTACTTCCCTTTCTTTAAATATTTTTACCCTCATTGTTTTGTTTATTTATTGGATCATTTATTAAATATGAATATCACGCATCTGGCTCTTATAATTCTTAAGAGATAACAATATGAGATTTAGAAATGTATATTCTGAATTGTTTCTCTTTGCCTTTAGGTTTAGACTTGTTGGTGAAGCTACACTTAAGTGTGTTCTGAAAGATAGCAAGGTTGATTGGAATAGAGAGTTCCCAGTTTGCGAACGTAAGAGATTTTGCTTTAAAGTCATTTAAAGTTTCTGCCAGTGATTTTTGGTGCAGCTTCCAAAAAAGTTGCAGTGTTCTGTTTAGGCTTTCATACAAGTTGGGAAAGTCTAAGGCAGCTGGGGATTCCTGAATGTAAACTCGCTTAATGACTATATTATGACAGAGTCAAAAAAGGTGGTTATGCCCTGTCCTTGAATTGACAAATGGTTCATACAGACCCCCTCATCAAATTTCAGGCACTTTGAAATTGGGCCATCACTTATGACCAGTTGCCACCTCCAGCATCATAGTGACTTTGATTCATGACTTTCGATTTCCAACAGAAAACAACAAACATGCATATTGGATACGATGGATTACCTTATCAACCAAAGTGTTCATTTAACAACTACATGATTTGCTTAACTCTGGTGATTTACTTCATGATTGCTGTAAAAAAAA